CTTCCTCGATCGACTTTCTCTCATTGGAGTTCGCAATTTGCTCTGCCACTCTCTGATCTACTTCTTAGCTCATCTCCCATCTTTTAGTATTCGGTCCTGCTACTCGCCGGAGCATCATCTCGGCGGTGTATCCGACGTGTTTGCAGCGTCCAACGGCATCGGATCAGGGATTTAACTTACTATAGCTTCCGGAGAGTGCRCAATCGTAACAAAATCTGAGGTGAGTTTGCTCATCTTATACTCTTTCACTTGTTCTTCCGGGGTTTAATCACTCTGTTTTGTTTGTTTCCCCTGAATTTACTAAATCCCTAAATTCGATATTGTTAAGGGACATTCTCGTAGCTCGAATCAGTTTCTACAAACATCTCTCTCTTCAAAAGATGATTCCAATAGATAATCACTGTGTGCCAAGTACTAGCACCGCCGGTCTTGTGTATCCGGCGGCGAATTACGGTATAAATGCGATAAATGCTGTTTCTGGGTTTCACAAGACTGTAGATTCTTCAACTTCGGTGGCTGGAATCAAACCTGAAGCTGCTTTGGTTATGGATTGGTCCGTTGAAGAGCAGTATGTATTGGAGAACGCCCTTGCAAAGTAGGTATCTTCAACGTTTGGTATTTGGAAGTTTCCTTCCATTTGTTAATTTTTTTAATCTGCAAAATGCAAAGTGTGTTGTTAATTCTTTAGATTTTCGTACTAAGATTAAATTCTTTTTAAGAACAAAAATAAAGTTGATGTTGGGAATTGTTTTATGAGAAGTAGTGGGCACATCATATTCTCTATATGGTGGACTATTAAAGTATGTTCCTTTGTTCCTTCCAATAAAAAGTAGTTTTTCCTTTTGTGTTCCCATGGAATCATGTAAATTAGCGCATATTTTGTGTTATCTAGGATTGGGACCATTAGCCAACTCAGGTTGCTCTTGCTCTAAGTAAGTTATTTCTCGTTCTATTGGTTTGCATGCATGACATCTTTATTTTGCCGTTTGTAGATTGAAAGATGAACCGAGAATTTCAAAGTATGTAAAGATAGCTGCGGCTCTACCAGATAAAACTGTAAGGGATGTCGCATTGAGGTGTAGATGGATGACGGTAAGTTCATCATGTTGTTGTGGTCTCAGTTAAGCTTCCTTCAGTTGTATGCATACTTCAAGTTGTTCATGTGCTCTTTGTTATGTGCTTTTGCTTGTATGAGTAGAAAATTTACCACTCTAGACTTCTCCCAATGATATTTTGACTGCTAGAGTATTGCTTAGCAGTTTCTAGCATTCTTTTTTGAAATGGTATGTGGCTGTTATAGATGTAGTTATCCGAAAGATTTTTCTATCACTGTTAAAAGCATATGCTAAATATCACGGAATCAGCATGATGATGCAAACTTTGTGATAAAGATAAAGTCCCATAAAAAAGCTATAGGTATTATTGATGAAAAGTCACCCTGCCATGTCGTAAAGATTGTCTAAAGACTGGTAAAGGATGAGCAAAAAGATATTGCTGACGCTTGATCCGTCTTTATACTTGCTTTGTAGTCCATGATTGTGGAGGGGATTGTTGGAAAAGGAAATAAGCCTAAAGCTTTCTTTTTATTATTTCTGTAGTTACCCTGAAATAGATATTTGCTTTGCTTTTATGGGTGATGGTAGAGACCCCTACACTTTTTGGAGTTTAAGAAAAAATTATTTTGGCATGTTAACGTTGGTTAGAATTATAACACCTCTCATGACAGGCTCCGAAGTTTTTCTGAAATTATTATTTCGGCCACAAGATGGGTTACATCATAATGTTAAAGGTCTGCAGGATAAAGTGGAACAATATGCATTAATGAAATATAATGCTTTATTATCACCTCCTTCATGTCTCTGTCCTGCATATTTGACTTGAGTCTTGCATCAGATATATTATGCAATCAAAGAGAAAGTTCCAAAATTCCTCCTTTTTCTATTCATTAGTGCTTGTTCGGTTTGTTTAAGTTTGTCTTGGCTAAGACGGGAATCTATTTTCGCAGCGAAAACGAAGAAAAAGAGAAGAAAATAGTGCCGGGAAGAACATTAGCAATAGAAAGGTATGCTTAAACCTTTCGTTTGTCTTGTTTACTATTTAATAAACTGATGAAGTTAGGTGGTCACATTAACATTTTGGTTTGAAAGAACATTAGCAATAGAAAGATTTTTTGTTCATGATAGTATTTTGCAATGAAGAAGCTGAACTATTGTTGACTAAATAAGCTGTATGGTGGGTTTCTCATGGGAATATATTTAGTTAGTTCTTGACGAAAGAAAAAAAGACCACCACGTATGGTATTTGTTGTGCATGAATTGACATTCAATAAAGTTTCTGATCGATTTTGAAATGATGGGCCTCAAATGATGCGGAGCCAACTATGCAGAAGTATTAGCAAATATAATTTTATCGTCAGTATCTAAGCTTGTGCACATATTTATAATGATGTTCATTGGGAATTATAATGTTTGTTCTCATATGTGTTTCATGTCATTCACATTCTCTTTGCTGGGTCATATTTCTCATATGTGTTTCATATCATTCGCATTCTCTTTGCTGGGTCATATGAACTTCCGTTAATCAATAATCTTTTAAACTTGGTTCTAAAGACCATGCTTCTTCATGGTAAGGTGGTGGATACATCCCCAGAACTGAACATGCTATCCAATGTGCCACAACAAAATGCTTTATATCTCATGAACAATATGTGCCACAGTACACGCATGCCTTTTGAAGGTTTAGTGCTCTTTTAATTCTTTGCTCTTAAAGAGAAAATCAATATTTTCAGCCAGATACCTTTGTTGAACTCTTCTTCTCAGGTTTAAGTGACGCAGTAATGGATCTTCTACACCAAAACGCTCAAGCTTTTAGTCAAATTTCTTACAATCTTTCTGCATTCAAGGTAATTTTGTTCTTCAATCCTTTATGGCTACTTGCGTGAGAAGATTGACAGATTCAAATTATCAGAAAAGTTAGATCTAACTTTGTATACAATATGTTATTTCCCTCATGCTCAGTTGTTCATTCAAAGTAATATATTATTTGTGTAATTTGGATTTTCTCGCTATCCTTTTGCAATGGAATTGGCACACAGAGATTCTAAGTTTCTAACTTACTGCATACAGCTGCAGGAGAACATCAATCTCTTTTATCAGACAAGAAATAACATCAGTGCCATCCTGACTGAGTATGTGTATCTAATAACAGATTCAGTAACACAATTGAGACATTTCCCCTTGTCTTCTTTACTTTTCTATGATTAAAGCTTCAATTGCTAAACTCTTAGTTTCTGCTGCAGCATGAAGGAGATGCCGGGTATCATGAGTCGGATGCCAGCTCTGCCCGTTTCAATTAATGATGATCTTGCAAGCAGTTTATTGTCGAGTACAACACAGGTAACAGATTTTGTGTAATGGTTATCTCTGAGCATTGGGAGGTGGCCAGATTTGATGTTTAGTGAATTGTTATTCTTTTCTCGCAGCCAGTATCGTATACAATTCCACCACGCATCCAGCTTAAGCAAGAGCCAAGAAGTTGATGGTAAAGCCGGATTTTGACTGATGCTAAAGAAAATAGCACAGTATCTGGTAAGTGGCAATGTTTCCATGGACGACACAACACAGACTGAAACACAATGGTTTATATACTGCAGACACGGCTCCCGAACACGAGATTCGACAATCGGTATTGGTAAATACTTGTGCTCTCGGGAAATTTAACAGAGGAGAATGAACTACAAGCATTGTAAGGCCAAGGTAAAACTCTCTGTTCCGCACAAAATGCTTTGGCCTTCAATCGAACATAGGATTCCTTAGAATTCACCAGAGTTCCGGTATAGGTTGATGGAACTCCAAGGCATTTTGATGTAATCTTGTTGATGCTATAAATTAGTATAATGACAGTTGTTTTGAGTTTGGTCTTCAGAGGCCGCTATGTGTAATACAAATTCTGGTTCAGGTAATATTTTGTTATCGACGAGGTACATATTTTTCATCTTCATGGTTTTGAAACATGATGTGATACAGATCATTGTATATGTTGTAATGTTTACAGAATCGTCAGTCCTAGTGAGAGAATTTCTTTTAAAAAGTTTTATTATTCAAAGACAGACAACAATATGGCTTCGAGACGATAATGGCTTGTAGCTCATAAGACAGCTCAGCAGCACGATGGCAGAGAAAAACTATTACATCCGGTTTATGCTTCTTTCCAAGAAGACAATGGTGTAGTTTCAGAGTTCTTGTAGGTAATTACATTAGAGTCTGATCTTTCTCCTTTCACAGAATCTGGATATCCCATGGCGTCAAGCTCAGCCATCTCTTCGATGGTGAGTTTCACAGATAAAGCTCCTATGTTCTGATTAAGGTTTTTGATCTTAGAGGTTCCTGGAATGGGGCCATACATCATCTCCTTGGTCATGAACCCAAGCTAGAGCTAATTGTGCAGGAGTGCAGTTTTTCTTTTCCACCATTGTATTTACCTTCTCATAAAGAATCTTGTTGTGGTCTAAGTTCTCTTGTTGGAATCTCGGTAAACCCTGGAATAGAGAGCACAATCTAGTTTTAGAACATACTGAGATTATATACTCGGTTCTCGTCTTGAATATTCATATAATGACGGGAGATAAACCGCCATGTACTTGCCTTTCTGTAGTCACTAGTCTCCATATTCTCAATGAGCTTTGGTCCTGCCGCAAAGAAGCCTCGTCCCGGAGGACTGTACGCTACAATACCAATCCCGAGTTCCCTGGAGAAAGTAAAGCAAAGAAATAACATTACAAGATGAGGACATTAGAATTCTATCAAGTAGATATCAATACCAATCCTCTTTAGCGGATCTGGCACCTGCAAGTAGGAATGATATCTTCTTCAACGTCTCTGGACCATTAAGACCATTCTAACTGCACCGCGGTTAGCGGATGAACAGCATGAGCTCTCCTTTTAGTCGAGGCCAGAGGCGTCAGACAAATCAATGTACTTTATCTTACCTTCTTCAACTAGCTTCTTCAGCTCTCCAATCTTTTAAAAAGTCAGAACAACAACAAACTGTAACACTCAACTCATGGAATCGACAAAACAATAACAAGAAGCACAAAGCTAAACAAAACCAATAGGCTCCATGAATGTAAACATCTAAACATTAATGAACTTGAAACACCAAAAAACAAGAAATATTGCCAAGAAAAAAAGCTTACTGTGACTTCAATGGGGACAGTGGTATCGATCCGATGCTGGTAATAGAGATCGATGCAGCTCGCTTCACACCCAGCTCTCACATAAGCTGGATCTCCTCTGTAAACAAAACTCCCCTCTTCATAAAGCATCCCAAATTTGGTCGCCAATTCTTGTTCCAACTAATGGCATGAACCATAATTTTCATTTGACGGTTTGATTTAGTCAATGTATATATTGACCATGATGTTGTAGTTATATGAAATTGATT